ATGTAAGAAGGTTTATTACATTAAACCTACTAAAGTGATCTTCTAATCAACTTAGGATTACAAAGACTTATTGTTTATTAGGAACTCAAAACCTATCTCGATTAGGCAAGCCTCAAACAGTGTTCAATAAGGATAATGAAGGCTTAAGGGTTCCTAGTTCTACAAGGATTGGAATGGATTAATCCTATAGCATGAAGGATATCTCTAAGTGTTTCTTGATGGGCAAGACACTTAGAGAGATGCATATAAATAGAAGGCTCCCTCCTAGATCCGAATAACACAACACAGCTAAACAGAAATTCACCCATCAGAGTTATAGCTATAAGGATCGGATTCTCAGGAGAAGAACTTCTATACCTTGCACTGCCAATCTGTTCCAGCATCATCCAATCTGCGCCAGCACCATGTCAGACTTAGGTTAGTGTTAAACATGTTATGGCTTTAAGGAATTAACATTTGAATGCAAAACAAATAAAACAAAGCAAGCCTCCTAGCGCTTCCCATTGATTCACAATTTTAGCTTATATGGAGCTGGTAAAGTTGTACCTATACATGCTAACGTCAATCTCTTAATTATCTTAATACCTCTTTGGCAAACCCATTAATTACAATCCGTCTAACACTGGCATCAAAATTACTAGCTAATAATGTTCACAATTCTTCCCACGGCAACTATTTTAAATATTATTAATTCAGACAAGCACGGGTTGACCCAAAAAAAAAAAAAAAAAAAAAAAAAAAAACCAAATGTTGTAGGAGGGTAAATTAGGCGCACACACTCAGAAAATTAAATAATGCGACCAATAAATATTGGTTCACTCACTATGGTAAGTTTGATGACGTAGATATATAGTTAATGAGATTATATTGAAAATAAAAATAACGTGGTTTATTCCTAACAAAGTCTAATACTTTTGAGTTTTAATCTAATTTTTTAATTTATTTATAAATGCATCTCACATTATCAACATCATAAGGGACTAACTTTTGTTGTTATCTGTTAATGGAGTATAACTTAATGAAAAAGGTCTTAATTTACAGACAATGGTCTCATACTCGAAACCCATAATACTTTAGCAGTGTGAGAAACTCTCTCGCTATTTAATTTTTCTCTCAGCATCGAGGAAACTTGGACCAAATTTCAATTGATTTGGTGGCATGCATATAAGGCACCAAATTCCAATTGGTTGGTGGCATCTTAAATTCTACTGTGTGCAGGTTTGGCTCAACAGTAAGTGCTGCAGACAAATGCGAATGCAAAGGTGACTCCAGTTTTTTTTAGAAGAAAATGTACACTGATATGTTGTTGCCCCCTACCCCCAGCATAGTACAAGAAGCAGACTAGAGTCATCATCGATCACCCCAGATAGAATTACTTCTAAATATTATTGTTTAACAAAATAAATGAAGGCAGCAGTAAAAGAAATAGTACAATATCCCTCCTTCATACACATGCACATGTAACACACAGAACGCGAAGTTCAGTGGTGCCCAATACCTCCACCGAAGCCGCCACCACCACCAAATCCTGCACCTCCACCGAATCCACCACCGGAACCTGCTCCTATTCCTCCTCCAACACCACCACCTTTGCCAAATCCGCCACCACCCCCACCACCCTTCCCAATGCCTCCACCTCCACCAATACCACCACCTTTGCCAATCCCACCACCTACTCCACCACCTTTTCCGAAGCCACCACCAGCTCCCCCACCGACACCTCCACCTTTTCCTATTCCTCCACCAACACACCCACACCCCCCCCCCACCCCACCCCCCCCCCCGCCACCTTCACCAATCCCCCCGCCAACACCACCACCTTTACCAAATCCACCACCAGCTCCTCCTCCAACTCCACCACCCTTTCCAATTCCACCCCCAGCACCACCGCCTACTCCGCCACCTCCCCCAGCACCACCGCCTACTCCGCCACCTTTACCAATCCCACCGCCAACACCACCACCCTTACCAAATCCACC